AAGATTTCTCTGGAGTCAGAGCGCGGTAAAGCGGATCTTCCGATGGCCTCTCCTCTTCCTCCTCTGAGCTTGACACCTCTGAGTCACTTGGGTACTCTTGCACCAAGTCCCAGCCGCTGGAGGTCATGAAAGCCCAATTCACCCTGCTCACATGGATGCTCTTGGAACCACTTCCTCGGTCAGGGGAATCTTCCTCCTCCGGCTTCTCCTTCTTGAGGTTCACTGTCTGAGAAAAGAGTGTATCCTGCTCCTGCTTGGCCCCGGGTTGCTTCCGTTCGGGGAACTCACCGCTCTTGACCTTGGCACATTGAGGATCACCTTTCCAGTGCCCATACTTGCCACAAACGGCACATTTGGAAGCCTTCTTTCGATCTTCAATGCGGCGGTGATCAGGAGGTCGTTCCTTCTGCTTACCCTTCCGGCCTTTTCCTCCTTGACCCTTATAGCCTCGCCCTTTTCTCATCTCAGCACTCTGCTGCCGAGCCTTCCAGCCAGCCGTGTAGGCTTCTCGAAGATCATTCATTTCCCATTCTTCTTCTTCTTCTTCGGTGTCTCCTCCCCAGTCCGCTTCAAACCCATCACTCCCGTGATAGTCACGGACATCTGCTGGATACGCCTCCTGCTCAAGGTCCTCATTGTCCAGCTCATCATCGTCTTCTTCCTCCTGGAAACTTTCTTCCGGGTCCACCTCATCTTCAGGCTCTGCCTCTGTGAGATGGGCATCGTGCCTCTTCTTCCGCCATACTCCTGTCCTTGCGCTCGCTTTGGAGTAAACCTTCCGGGGTTTGCTCTTGAGATCTGCATGTGACTTGCCGTACCGGTACTTCTCCACTTCCTCGGAGTGTAAGGTGGCACATCGAAAGCGGAGCACCTTCTCTATCTGCTCTGTCCGGTATCTGCCGCCAGCCGCGAAAAAGATCTCTGTCCTTTCTTTCTTGGACAAGCCAGCGCGCGTCAAAAGACGCTGGGCATAAGCACGGTCGCTGATGCGAGTATCCGTATCTTCCTTCAAATACTCACCTTTCAGTCTTTTCAGCTTTGCTATATATGCCGACATGGCCATGCCATGAGGCCTTCGGAATGTCATGAACTCTTCTTGCTTCTGTTCGAATCGCTCGTCCGCCTGCTTCTCGTAAGTGTCATCGAGTAACTTCATTACTCGGGTGAAACCGGCTTCTTCCTGGAGTTCAGTGACTTCCAATTGGTTGACGATGTCTCTTGCTTCACCTGCTGTGGAGAGGTATACCAGGGCAGCCATTTCAGGTTCTGAGAGCTTGTAGAGCCCCCTCTGCACCTGAAGTGTTTTCTTCCAGTCCCGATACGTAGATCGGGATCCACGGAACATCTCCACCTTGACCTGGGACAGTGCACTGCGTGCTCCTCCTACTTTGTCCCCTGCTGGAGACTGCTTCAAGTTCCTGGCGAGGATATCCCTGATGGCATCCGTGTTGCCACTGCCCTCCGATGGTGGAGCGCTGCTCCCCTGATCTTCTCTGGCGCCGCCAGCGGGCGTTGCCCGGGACTTTGTCGCAGTCCTCTTCGGCTCTGCCGGTCTTGTTTCTTCCCGCTTCTTCCTTGGCAATGGTGGTCTGGCATCACCCGCATTGGATGGTTCCCTTGATGGCATGGCTGAAGACCTGTATGTTGGGTCATTTGTCATGGTCTCCTCTTCCCCATGCTCATCCTCCTCCTCCTCATACGTATATGAGTAATGACTTCCGTCACCATCATCATCATCGGGTGGATCTTCATCGAAGTCATCCGGAACCTCTTCCTTCTTGACGGGTTTCTTGGCCAGTGGCTTCGGAAGCTTCCGTGGTCCATCTCGCCCTTTGCCATCACCTTTGGAAGTACCTTTCACCTGTCCCTGCTCTTTGCCGCCTTTGCCCTTCTCAAGGCCCTTGTCATAGCCCTTGTCATGGCCCTTGTCATGGCCCTTGTCCTGGCCCTTGTCATGGCCCTTGTCCATATCTGCCACAATCCATGATCCAGAGCTCGTAGATGCTCTCATGTCCGGTGGCGGCCACCAACCTTGCAGAGACGTCATCGATCCTGTCATCATTGCAGGGTTCATCATCTGCTGCAATGGTGGTATCATCGGCATGCCAGTCGGCATCCCTTGTTGCGGCATCATCATAGCCGCATGCTGCATCAACGGTGTCATCATTGGAACACCCGGGCCTAACATAGGCATCCCCTGCGGCTGCAACAGTTGCTGTGGCATCTGTTGTGGCATCATGGGTATCCCCTGCGGCTGCATCATCTGTGGTAGTCCTTGTGCTTGTGCTCCAGCACCATGAGGGGACCCACCAGGTGGTGGCATATGAAAGCCAGGCGCAGCCTGTTGCTTCATCATCGGGATTGTAGAACTGGCGGAACTTCCGGTCTGTGGTAGGGCGCTGCCCTGCATCGGCGGCGCAGCCGCTGTGTCTCTCGGCTCTGCCGAGTCCTCGTCCCATGTCGGAACAGGGACATTCATGGCCCAGGCTCGGGCTCCGCTACCAATGCGGAGAATGGGGGGTAGCTCCCCAACTAAAATGAAATAGCGCAGCAACTACTCGGCAGCGGCCGGCAATCTTCTTTTCAGCGTGATTTGAACTGTCGACAGCTGCGGTCACAGCGGCCAATGAAACATGCCAAAAACGTGCACCAAGCAGCCAAACTCACAGAAGGTTCCTGTTTATTTTCCATTGTGGGTCAAAAAATCCCAGATAGCCACCATTCAAACCATGACAAAAGTGACAAAGCCAATATTTGGCAATCCATGGGTGCTCCCGGGTCAACATGCCCCCCTGACCATTCAGAAAAATGATGAAAAATGAAGTTTACAATTTCAGGGTTCCCTGCAGCTGCCTACCTGTCCCTCAAAACCATTTGATCGAATATATGTAGGCAGTGAAATTGTTTCAAAGCATTTTGTTGGTATTTAGGGTATACCTTTCCCATAACCACTCTGATCAAACTTGATCACAGTCTTGTTGGAAAGCATTGCTTCCATTCCTCCGGGAGCCGGAGGTTGACATTCCCACGAAGGTATTTAATTACCTCTATGAGTTTGGCCTCAGACCAATCAGACCATTCATAATATATATAAATTGAATTTGGGAACAGGACATGTAATTTTGTGCCTTGGTGCGCTATATTATTGTTTGTCAATCCCACATGTTGATGATTACAAATATATATATAGTGTATATGCATGTGTTTGTATGCATGTGCAATTTTCAGGAAACCTCTATGTATTTTTAATATCATATATATATATATTTATATACATATATATATATATGTATATGTAAATATATACAAACATCTCCCTCTATACAGTTATGTTCACCTGAGATTGGAAATGATATACCCTAAAGACCCAAGAATAGCCTCGAACGGTAAAAAGTGCTCTAGAGCACTTTTTTCTACACTGTTTGCAAAAAACCAGGTTTTCTGGAAACAGAGTTGTTTTTTCCAATCTAAGGGTTTAGCAGGTATAAATATATCTACTGTATATAGTCTATATGTATAATATGCATTTTTTAATGCATTAATGTCGGAATACAACCGTGAAAGATCTTTACAACTCATGTGCGACAAATTAAATGGTTGTGTTGATCAATTTACGGGGAGCAACTGGACTGTGTTATCATTTAATTTCTAACCCTTGTCTGCTTGATGGTAGAGTCACCAGGGACCCCAAAAAAACCTTCGATGAAGGATTTAGTCTCTGATAAACACAAACAACTATGGAAACTGACCCATTTGGAGTTGATTTGCCTCTTAGAAATCGTGATTTTTCCAGTTCGCAAACTGTTCGTTTACCAGATGGTATTTGGGAACTGCCAGCCAGCTGAAGATTTGACACCTAGTCACATATTGGATGGCCTCATTACTTTGGGGGTGCGTGACCCAAGTAGTGTTTGTGGGCAAAAAGAAGGAGGTATAACTGAGGTACATCCCACGAATCTATCTGACATATACGGTTAGTACCCACTAACACTAATTGAATGTACATCCAAGTACCATCCAGTAATCAAACATGGCAATGAAAATGATTCTATAAATGGAGTCTTGATGGGAAAAACACTTATAAATGGTGGATTTCCAATTGATGATGATAATCCATGATAATCCCCTTTAAAATATCCATTTAGTTCCCGCTAGCCATGTTTGATGACGAGGATAAATCTCTCCACGACTCCAAGGATTTCTACGGAGTCAAAATGCCATTTTTACCATCGAAAATCGACAAATGACAAATTTTGAACCTTGCTTCATTGCGGATTATCACTATAAACTGCTGGGTTATTTTTGGGTCATTTCACTTTCAACGTTACGTTTTGACAGTATCAATTTCTGGCTGATTTGGAAACAACAGCCTTGGCCTTGGATTGTACTCAGTGAATGAAAAAAGGCCTCTGGTAAGTTATAGAACAGTTTTTCGCGAAGTGGAAATTCAACTTTCTTAATAGGTAAACATCATCTACTCTTAACATAGCCCATTTTTAATAGGTAAACCATCTATTTCTATGGGCCATCTATACCATGGCTATGCTAAATTATCAGAGGGCAATGGGCCCCCAACGAGTTCGCCATCCATTGATTCAGTTGGTCACTGGGATGTGCATCGAATTTAGTAGGTGGTTTCCAAAACATGTCTGTTGATCCATTAATTAACGTAACTGACTCATATGACTGGGGATATTCAACATACATACATATTATATTATATATATATATAATCCTGGAGATAGAATACGGAAATTTCAAAAAAAAACTCGCTAAAATGGATATATATATACATATTGACAGTTCCACATTTTATCTACTGCAGGATGATTATATGTATAAAATTGCATAAATATGTATATATAATTATGTATATAAATAACATACAGATTATAACATGGGTTATACATGGTTATATATGGTTATATCATGGCTGTTCACTACTTACGATACCTGGCATGCACCATCCACGCCACTCGGCCACTCTTACGCCACCCGACCTAGACCGGCGGCATCTGCAATGGCTTTCTGAGCCCTGACCCAACTGCGCGCGGACTCTTTTCCCTGGCCGGACAAAGAAGGTGCCATGGTCAAGTTACGTGGGGGATTCTGCAATGGCTTCATGGTTCATGGTCATCCAGAAATTCCCATGTAACTTACTTGGTTTACATGTAACCTAATGGATAGTTTAAAAAGTCAAGTCTCATAGGAATCTTGAATCCTTACTGACAATGGGTACATACCTATCAATGATACATATCTTTTTCAATCCAAGCCTGGGTAAAGAGGTCGATGACTTCCGCCGGCGTTCGCGGGGAGTAGGAGGGATCAATTCCACCTGGGCTCAAGCTAAAAGCTGATGACTTCATGTGAGGCATCTCCACTTAAAAAATCTGTGTAAGTCCTGCATTTTGGTTTGTGTCATCTTCCTGTTGGTGAGTGGTGCTGAGTTTTTTGTGCTGGAATCACTGACAAGGTGTTGTTTTTTCCTTTTTTCTTGTTGAAACTCAGAGGAAACCCAGGGTTTTCACCAATCAAATTGAGGAGTTCCATCCGGAATATCCGGAATTTCGGAGTTTCCCTCAAATCAAGGATAGACTCGTGAATTGATACCAGAAAGATCAGTACTTCATGAAATTAATACATCTAGAATCATCTAGATGTATCAATTTCATAAAGTACTTATCTTCTTTAGTACATCTTAGTACCATAAAGTGTGACTTCATAGCACAAAAAATCATCAAGTCCAGCGATTCCAGCTCTGCCAACATCTGCCAACAGCCCAGTCGCCTTGCGGAGACATGTAGCCCGTGATGCCCAACAAATCGGCTCCGGCGCCGTTGTTCTGCGACAGCAAGTCGTTGGTCACATCGGCCCACACCTTTGAGTCGAAACATCGCGCTTTTTGGTGGAGATACCCTCTGGTAATGACAAAATAGCGATTGAAAATGGCCATTTATAGTGAGTTTTCCCATTAAAAATTGTGATTTTCCATAGCTATGTTAGTTTACCAGAGGGTATTCCACATGGTTTTTCTCGGAAAATCCTGGGAAAAGCATGGAAAAGCCGCATCCACGGAGCAATCATGTTGTTTTTGGGTTAACGGTTAACATGGGTTAACCTCCATTTTCAGACACAGCCACATGGAAGAAACAACTTCGATCAATTTTGTGGCTATGTTCACAGGGAACGATGATACGCAGTGGGATCTGGGGGTGTGAATCTCCATGCATGGAAACCAAGCATGCAAACAAATTCTCCAATAATCGGTTTCCCGTTACATACCACTATATCCCAGAAGAAATCCTCATTTTTTCCAGTTCAATCCTGGTTTTTGATGGCCAACCCCCATCATCTTGGAGCTTTTCCAAGAGGTTCCACTCTCACTGCGGTGCTGCCCTGGCACAGCCTGCGTTGAAATGACATACTTCAAACGACTGCGTTGACCGCTCCAAACGTCAGTCCAGATATCGAAGATCTGCTTAGACCGGTAGGCCTGAAAATTGGGGGATTCAACGAAAAAAAATGGTGCTATTTTCATCCGGGAAATGAGCTTTTAACCATTGGATTTTGGGGTGCCCTAGTTTCAGACAACACCATATTACCATATGGAGAATGATGGGATATATATGGGATACATATACATATATATATATATATACATATATATATATACATATATATATATAATATATATATACATATGGATTATGCACATATATATATATATATGGATATACAATTTATATAACCAATATTCATGTCATAGTATCTTGATGACAAAAAAACCCAAAAACGGGTGTATTGTCCATCCCCATCCCAGTCCAGTCTTCGGGAGACGATGATTCCAAGGGGCCAAGGGGCCAAGTGATGCGACGTGTGCACGGAATGCATGGTGAGAAAGGTAAGTATGTATATATATATATATAGCCTATACAATATATATGCTATATTAGGCTATATTATATATATACATGTATATTATGTATATATATATATATATGCTATACATATAATTATATATATACCTATAATATAGCTATTGGTAGAGCATCTTCTTCACCTGAAAATCTATGTACTTCATGTGCTGACCATTTGGGTAGAAAAAATCGTCATGTATGCACGTCATAGCCATCATTATCGCCAGCAACAACAGTAATACATGTTCTTTGAGCAAGACAGACATCCCGTGGCGTCCCCTAGTCAATGATTGGCTATCTGCTTGGTTCAATGCTCCATTGATTGGTGATTCATCTACCAAAATGACCAAAAAAATGATACGTGCTGTAATTGTTCAAAAAAATAAAACAGAAACATCAATCAAAATAATCACATATTCCATACTCTTCTCACGAAATTGACGTGCCAAACGCCCATTTTTTTTTCTGCCCAGCAACGTTGTATCGGACGCGTGAACAATGTGCCTCCGGCGTTCTGCACGTCGAATCCACCAGGCCCAACTCCACACCCTGAAGCGACATTGAGAGCAGACATTGGGAGATGCCATTTCCAGTTAAACCATGTTAAGGATAGTTAACCTCTGGTTATGTCAAAATAGCTATTGAAAATGGCCATTTATAGTGGATTTTCCCATTAAAAATGGTGATTTTCCATAGTTATGTTAAATTACCAGAGGGTAAAGCATATTAAAAGCAAGGTTGTAAAAACCATGTTAAAACTTGGTAAAACCATGTCCGAAGCCGTTTCTTCTGGCCCTGTTGACTGGTTCTGTCACGCCCCATGCCCCATGGGGCACCTTTTGTGTGGCAAAGCGTCCCTGTGGGAACCTGGGCTTGCCCAAAACGGGCAAAAATTAGAGTGCGGAAGACTTCACTGACTCCAAAAACAGAATGCAAGAGAGAAGAGATCAAATCAAGTGACAATTATGATGATGATTCAATGATTCAGTGATAATTAAGTGATAATTAAGTGATAATTAAGTGATAATTAAGTGCTAATTAGTTACAAAAATGGAATAATGTCAACTCCCCCAACAAAAAAATCAACCAGCCGCCAAAGAAGAAATCAGAACATCTGCAACAGGTGCTTTCGGAACTAACCAAATCAACTCACACAAAAATACTGTAGATGTTGAACCTTAACTCTTCATGCGTAAATAGCTTCTAACCCCGACTGGCCCTTCTTATACCATCTTCTTAAATGGGTTGAACCACCATCTTTGGGGGAAGTTGCTATATATAGTACAGTAACCCTCAAAAAGACGGAAAAAGGGATTCCCCACTACTTTAATGGATTTTAATGGGATTTTACTGTTCTATCTTAAATTTGGGGTTGCAATCAACAAGAACATTTTAGAAAGTTGAGTCTGAACCTTGACTCTGCACCTTTTTTGGATTGCTAAAAAAAAAAAAAACATCCACTAGGGGGGTTCCACACTAAACATTTCTAAAAAACCTTGATTCTGCATCTTGTGTCGCGGAATCCCAAAAGAAAATCCAAAGGAACTCCACAAATCCAGGGTACAGATGTAATATCCCATTGACATCTCATGAAGAATCCCTACTGTTTATGGTTGAATCCTTCTTCATGGATAATTATCATAATATCCGGTTACTATCCCATGAAAAATCCCAATTCATGGTACTAACTTGACATAATTTGACATAAATCCATAGTTGTTTATGCTTAAATCCTGATTCTTAATGTTCAATATCCCATCAAATACCCATTAAATCCCTATTCTTTGTTGTATTCCATTGCTAAATCACCATTCTCAAGCAACTAACTTGACATAACTCCAGGCCACAGAGGGTTCCACACTTCGTTGCTGTGCTCCACATAGACCGACACGTCCGGCCGCAGCTGCTGGAGCCAAAATGTGGCCTCTTGGCGGACGTAGTCGTCCGAAGCCAAGTGGTGCACGGTAACCTGGGAACGACGGAGGGGGCACGGGAAGATTCACGAGATTTTTTTGATGGATAATGGCAATATAATGGTCATATTCTTAAAATATTTAGAATGGAAATGAATGGAATATAATGGTAATGGAGAAAATATGTAATGTATCAAATAATACTTGCATGATTGAAGCAGGGAGACTCTCCAGTTCTTTTGAGGCAACAAGCCAATACATAACGTTAAACTCAGAATGACTCAGGATTCATCGAAAAAAAATGCGTCCAAAAAAGTATGGGAAGACGACCAACAACGAGAGATCAGAGTTTCAGCAGCAGTTGACCGCGATTATTGGTTCTTGCTGAGCCTCACTTATTTCTGGTAGCAGGGAAAAAAAGAGGTCCATCATGGTCCATCTTCACAAAAAATCCCTTTGTTCTTGCGCTAAGATGGCGGAAAGACCAGCCCTTCTGAACTGGAAACAAAACATGACTTACATGGAGAATCTCAATGGCAACATCACCCCATAGGATCGACTGGTCATTCGTGGGTTATCCCAAGTAGCCACGGTAGATTCATAACCACAGTCTGCGTATTATAAATGCTACGTAATCCATAGTTAGACCCCCCCCAAAGTGGAGAATCATTCCATTTCTAAATGCCAAACTATCCCAAGTATATCTCATTCTCAGGATATCCCAACTATATCCCAAGTATATACCATATCAACACCTTAGGACCTAAATATTTCATAACCCATAGGAGCACTGGGGCCACATCGCCTAGGGGCCCAAGGTGATGCGCCTAAGGTGTTCACCAACAAGGCTTGATACTCCAGCGCAACAGGACCTGGGATTTCTGGGATTTCTGGAGGTGGATTCGCCCTTATTTTGTGGTCATGGATCGTGTCATTTCTTGTTGGTCGGATCCATACCCCCATAGGTTTTTTCAATTGTACCGACATATCATCTACAAGAAAAATAAATACCATTTTTTTTTCACACAACTATATACAAAAAAATATGTCAGCCTATTATATCTGTACCTACCAAGATTTTGTCTATTTTTCCCAACAACCCATAGTAGCGAGCACACTGCGGCTGAGCTCTTTGAATTCAGAGGCCATAGACCATAGAGTGACTATCCATCAACATTATATATATATATAAATCTATATTATGGACCTATCCTAAAATGGGGGTACCCCAAATCATCCACGTCATTAGACAATTTTAGTATTGCAACCCATGGTGACATGGGGATCCACCAATTTAAGACGCACCATATATATATATCATTATATATATATATCATTATATATATATATATATATCACTCTATATATAAATCATCATATATACATATACAGTATTATATATATGTGTGTTTATGTATGTGTATGCATATATATATATATACATTAGTTAATCTATAAATATATTAGTATATATGTATATATATGTAGGTATATATATTTGTGTGTCTTCAAAATGTCACTCACTGAGACCCTGCCGGGAACACGCTGTCAAAGCAAATGTTTTGACCAAAAGGAAGTTGTATGTAACAAGCTGGGCAGACTGATAGGCAACAATTTTTGTTGTGCTATCCATCACTGCAGCGCGCTGATCAATGATTAATCACTGATCTTTTCCAAACACCCCTTCATACCGTCAGGTGTTTTTCATGACTAAAGTAAACAAAGACGCCTCAAGCGCTGAAAGTCTAGCCATGGTCACTGCATGCATATGTTGTGACTTAACATTGATTGCCAACGCACCATCAAACACCGACCAAGCATGGAATGCCAACTGACCCCAGGATACTATACGACCCCAGTCATCATCAGACAGTAAACCCCTTGCACGCCAAATAGCAACTTCACCCTTGCGGATGTAATCACGTGCAGCCCTTTCGCTGAGCCACCTGCCGTACAAAAGGATATCATTCAAACTCATGCCTTGTCTGGATAGTTCAGATGCACCCGATCTACGGAATGTATGCGTTGTTAAATGCAAACTCTCAGCACCCAAAAGGAAAGCCAAACGCTTGACCCACCGTAGCATGCTCCCATAGGAAATATCAAACAGCAAGTCATGGGAATCTTTCAAAGGGAACCGTGAGATGTAATTTGCAAACCAGTGTATCACTGACGGATTTGTCAACACCACCTTCTGCTCCATGCCACGCTTAGTCCGCCCCAAGCACAAAACCAGAGTATTGGGCCCCAGGATAACATCGCCAACCCTAAGGCATAATACCTCACGAACTCGCAGCAAACCACAGTAGGCCAAAAGCATTGCCAGACTCAACTGCGGCCTACCTAAAATAAGTGCCAGGGCTATCATAGCATGGAGTAATTCAGGAGGTGCCGCTGGAGCTTGACGGACTGGGGATAGCGATGTCCATGCATCCAAAACCTTCCATGCAGTTTTTAAACGCAATCGTGGATGAACCTTTTGGAGAGCTGACAGAGCCCAAGAATATTCATTCTTGGATCCTCCCCGCTCAAACCCGTCCAGCACCCACTCCGCCAGAAAACTATCTTGCTGGCTTTCATCCATGTCATGCCAACTTCTCCCCAAATCAGCCAAATCACTGTTGAGGTGTTGCAAGGCTGCAATATACTTGGCTATTGTTGTAGGACGCAATGTGCTCAACAAGAAACGCTGGACTCGGTTGAGGCCAGTTCCATGTGACATGCTGCCCACTACCCCATGGATCTGAACTAATGGAATGACTGTTCAACTTCAAAGGTGCGAATGGCATGCGATAAGCTCTGCTTTGCGCAATCACCAACTTGTCAATACAACTACTTGCCAACGCCTGACAAAAATTGCTGGGATAATGAGCTGCTGGTGTTGTAAGAAACTTGCCACTGGAATCCAAACCTTTGAGTTGAGGATGTCTACGCGCATGTCGACATCGAAGTGCCAAGCCACGGCCATGATCTGGAACCAATAACCCCGTTGGTTTCTTTGTGGGTGCGCCAAACATGCATTGGTGGGTAACCAAATAAACAGCCCGTGTAAACACTTTGAAGGACTCTACCTCGGGTGTATTGAAAAATGATGGATATGGGGGGCCACGATCAGCCGGATGTTCCAGGCCAAACCAACCACCTCTCCTTCGGACTTCACCCAACAAACCCAAACAAAGCAAAAACAACGTGCTGCCCAACATCACTGAGGCCACTTGCTTTTTGGAGCAATACTTCAAAGGCTCCCAGGGACTGTGCCGCGACCGCAAAGGCCGAGGTCCCATCCGGTCTCTCAACGGCATGTGTCTAGCCGCCGAAATAGTGGAGCACGGAGGTGACCCAAACCCACCAATGACTCTGTCAGATGCAATCAAACCCAACAAAAAATTACCAACTTTTGCGTCCAATAAATCACCATATTGAATCACATCAACATCATGGAAATCACTGTCCGTCCCCGCTAATGGATCCACTGCAACGCCGAAAATATTGAAACCTGCCAATGCACCCTCATGTTCAATGTGCCAAATAACATCACCGGTTCTCCTAGGACCACTGCACAAATGAATAAAAAACAAGGCATCCTGAGGCCACATTGAGAGAGATCGCAAGTCGACCTCCGCATGCCGTGATTCCGGCTGTGCATCAGCTACCCGGCCCTTCGCATCTTCAGACGTCTCAGCCTCAAACATGCGTGACGGGGCATCAGCAGGATTATCGGCTGAGGGAACCCACATGTAAAACGGTTCATGACCACCACAAAGATTGACAGCTGCTACCTTCCTGCATCTGCCATTGATTTGCTTTGAAGACGACCGCCCTTTGACCAGGGCCCCCAGCATAGCTGCACTGTCAACAGGATGAATGAAGCGGTTGCCATCATCCCCCGGCCTCCGCAGCCGGTCATGACTAGCCCAGACCACTGCATCGCCCTCACCAACTGTGATGTGTGTAGGTTTCCATGGGGTGCCCAACAACTTCCACTTGACCATCTTCACGGGCAATCTAACTTTGTAAAAAGGACACTTGCCAGCCTTGTCAAGCCCAATACCCCAAGGTAGAGACAAATTGGTGTAAGTCCCCTGAGCTGAACAATACCGGGCTAAGGTCCTGACGATGTGCTGCGGCATCACCGCAAAAGCTCTTCCAAGGCCTGTTATTGAGGCATCAGTAGCTTCCACACGACTGTTCCAGGGTGAGGAAATGTCAAACTGCGCGAAAGGGATCAACAAAGCAGATACCAAAAGCTGGGTCCAAACTCTCGCTGGAAGTTCAACCAAGCCCGGCCTCAACCTCCTCTGTGAATCCAACCAGCCAAAAGTATCTTCAAAAATTGACCTCATGCAAGCCCGCGCTGAATGAACAAAACCATGCTTTCCCACGAGCCGTTCAACTACCTTAAAATGGACCTCCTTCTTCAACAGAACCTGGAATGTAGCTTGATAAAGATGCCGTCGCTTTTCCATTGAAACCCCGATCCAGTGGTCTTCTGGATGAACATAATAGCCCTGTATCTCCTCCCCTGCCGCTGCATTGACCGACTTCTTCTCATGAGGTTGTACTCCACGCTTAACCCATGCATCCGACGCCCTATCGAGCCAAACCGGTCCTACAGGAAGTTCCCCACCATCATCCACATGATCTAAAGCCCAAACATCATCAATGATCGAACCCCAGACCGGCAAACTTTCGGGGGAAACTTCACCCGGATACAACCGTTTTTCAGGGGGGAGATTGGCGTCCCTGGCAATAAGGTCAGTTAAGGCTTGTGCCCAACCCGCTGAAGGTCCAAATCCCATCGGTGTGGCCCTGGAAGATGGATGCACTGTTCTGGGGTCCCCACGCCTACCAGGGATGGTGATCGGAGGACCACAGAGCCATTTCTGCCATTTCTTCCCAATCTGCAAGCGATGAAAATAATGTCTTGCATCTCGTTTGGAAACAACCACCAAGCCGCTCTTCGGAACTGTAACTGACCGTAAACTGGGAATATATGCAAATTTTGGTCTAGGTAAAGCATCAGGATCAAGTAACTGGTTGACGCTAGGATCTGTAATAACCCTGTCTTCCAAATCATCTTTCGGAACTGCAAAGGCACCGGCTAGGCATTGAACTCCCCTGTGTCTTGCCACCTGTGATGGCTTCTTGTACCTATGCAGTCCCGCCTGAACGTTGCGCTTCACCAACTCGGGGTAGCTCGTAGAAAGCCAAGTATAGCCACGTTTAACCTTCCTTGGCCTCCTCCCTTTAGACAGCAGCAAAAGACGTGGTTCACGCACCTGTGCCGCCATTGTAGGATCAAGAGACTCCAAATGATCAGCTAAAGGAACATCAGCCGCATGGTCAGGAACCCCTCCACGAACTCCCAAAGGTAAAACAGCCCCACAACCGGAGTAGAGCTGTGTCTGCCTCAAAAACTGGTCCAAACCCCCGCGGGTAAGGGTAGGCTCACTGGTCATCACCATAGCCCGCAAAGTCCTTGCAATTCTTGCATGAACTCGCCGATGAGCCGAAGACAAATGAGTAGCACTACTTGCCCCATCCGCCTCCTCTCCATGCATCCAATTAAGAACAGCCAGGAGCAGATTACCACCATGAAAATCAATCTCATCCTCCCTTGACTCAACAGCACCCTCTCTAAGAAAACGGCCATCAACGCTCAAAGGAGGCAATGGAAAAACCTGCTGAGACGACTGTCCAAACCCTCCTAAAAGAGGTCTATCTAATTCAGCCAGCAACTTGCGGTCACCCAGAAGTTTGAACATGTTTGCAACCCGGTCAGCCAAACCATCACCATTGTGAGAAGTCATAGCCAAACGAATCACCCTGCACGATCGTAGGAAGAAAACATCAAAAGGCTCCCCCCCACCATCTATACCGCCCAAATGCTTCCAAGCCATCCACAAACTGCGTCTCATGCATTGGTGAGCGCCAGCATCGATGATGATGCCAGGGTCCTCTGACTGTTGATGAGCTCCAGGTTCTCCGCCTTCTCCCAAGTGCCACCCTTCTGCCGGGCACTTTGTATGGCCACGATGCGCTGGACAATGATGTCCAAAGCCCGGGCTATTTCTCGGCGGTTCACATGGTCTAACACCTCCGCCAGAGTGAGCACTTCTTTCAGGTCTCGTGGCTCCGTCAGCCCTGAGTGCTGATGCGCCCATGCGCTCACACTTGCTTCCCTCAGTTGGCTCGACCGATGAATCGTGCCTTTGCTCAACCTCGCATAGACCCCAGCCAGGAAGTGAGCCGTAAGGGCTCCAGGATTCTTCGCCGCAAAGTTCAACAGATCTCCCTTCTTCTTCAAGCGTAGTTGATCCACATGTGTCAAATCTTCGTAGGAGACTTTCTTGTCTTTGCCCTTCTCCTTCCAAACCAGAGGCTTCCGGGATGAGGAGGCTGAGCTTGAGCTGGATCGGCTTCGAGAACGGCTCCCTGAGGAGGAACTGCTCGTCGAGTCCGACCTCTTTTTCTTCTTCTTCCTCTTCTTCTTGTCTTTCTTGTCGGACTTCTTGGACTTCTTTTCTTTCTTCCTCTTTGACTTCTTCCTCTCCTCCTCCGATGAGATGGCCATGGCCTGCAACTGTTGAACTGCCTTCTCCAACGCCTTCAACTCCTCTGATGTTGGTGCAGCGCCTCCGGACTGCAACCCCAGCCCGGCACCCCCTCCTCCAGGGGCGGCGCCTGATCCGCCTGGCCCCATCTGACCTCCTCCGGGAATGGCCAATCCCACCATGTCCCCTGCCACACCAGCCATGTTCACCGTGACACCGCTCATCGATGAATTCAACTGGCCAACAATAAGCTGGGCTTCCTGGGACAAAGTGATCACCTCCACAGGGTCTGGGGTCCACAAAGTGTCGCAATTGGGGGGAACATAGATCCAGTTGATTGATCCTCCGGGGACTCCCGCTGGAGCCCTCCTTGTCCCATCGGGATTCTCTAATGGACTCTTCACCCCTAGCGCCACCAACCTCACAACCACCCATGTCCAGTCCGAACCATCTGTTACCGTAGTCCGGGCCACCACATCCGTATTGTTTGATAGAGTTCCAGCAATCCATATCTCATCCCAATGAGGAGGCCTTGAAATCAAAACAAAGCTACCCACACGGAACGGTGCTGCTGCTGCAACCCCGCCTGCTCCAGCACCACCAGCAACTAAGGCCATAGAGGTTAGGTCCACACCCCGTTCTTGCAGGACTAGCTGATCTTCGCTTTGACTGGTGCCAGCCCCCACCCAAATCTGATGAAGATACTCGCTGATCCAGCTGACCACACGCACAACCCAATAACACAAGTACCAGATGATGTGAAGTAGACAACGCAAGATGCCAATTATCTCAAATCGCAATTCCCACGCAATCCAAACCCCTCCAACTTGATACAACTTGTGTAATAGACCGGCGTCCAAATCGCCCACTAATTGATTGTGAACAAGCTGGGGCAACAAGGAAATCGAGTGGTCAACCAGAGTCTCAACAGCTACCCGCCAGAAACGCCACCGAATGTAGCTTACACTGGCACCACCAATGGCTAGAGGAACCAAGGTTCTAGACATAAGCCGCTTGAGGGGATCTTGAGCAATGAAAAATCCAAAACGGTTGAATTTGCAAATCGTTCATGACAACCTCATCACACAAACAAGGCATTTCATGGAAAAGTCCCAAATATATATTACTACTAATATATATATATATATATATAACTATATTTACATACATACATATTGGTTATAAATATATTAGGTTTGTTAGTTTTATATAACTAGTTTAATATATATATATATATAATATTATGTATATGTACAAGTTTTTTGTTATTTATATATATATATTAGTTACATTTATATACATATGTTTTATATATGGTATATATACATATATTAGTTATATATATATATATACTAGTTATATATATATATATATTAATGTGTATTAGTTATATATATATTAGTTACATATATAATATATTAGTTACATATATACAAGTTATCTATATGTATATATATATATCTGTTACACATATATATATATATCTGTTACATATATATATATATAGATGATATTAGGTTCATTAGCAGCTATGTTATATATATAAATATATTAGTTATATATATAATATAATATAATATATATATATACATATTCGTTATACTAATATATATGTTATATATATCTCTAATATATATATATATACATATTAGTTATATATATTTACATATTAGTTATATATATATATATACATATTAGCTATATATATTTACATATTAGTGATATATATATATTATTTATTAGATATGTATATATATATATATTTATTTATTAGTTATATACATATATATTATATTAGTTATATATATATATATTAGTTATATATATATATTAGTTATATATATATATATTATTATTATTTATATATATATTGTCTTAGTTTTATATATATATGTATATATTAATTATATATATTATATTTTTTAGTTTTATATATATATATATACAAGTTATATATATATGTATATTATTATATATATTATATTTGTTATATATATATATGTATACATTAGTTATAAATATATTATCTTTGTTATATATATATTAGTTATATATATATATATTAGTTAATTATTTATATATATATATATATTATATATCAGTTATATATATATATTATATGGACCAACATGATACAACTCCTGTTCTGTTCCGTTTCGCGCCTGTGGTCTGAGATCGATGGGATGGCAGGACCCGATCCTTGAAGGGACTTCGGGACGTTGGGGCCGCAGGAGGCTCAGGATTTCATAGGAGAAATGGGATATAAATGGGATATAAATGGGATATGGAGTTTTTGCTAAGCCATAAAAAACAAATTATGAACCATTCATAACCATTGCTAAATAGTTGATATAGCCATTGTATGGAGGTTTCTTAGGTCGTGTGGGTACCCCAATAGCTGGATGGTTTAGAATGGAAAATCCCTATCTGCAAAGACTTGAAGGTAGCCCCATTTTAGGACACCTCCATATAAATGGAATGTAAATGGGATATAAATGGGAGATATGGCAGTGTGTCAAAACCTTGTACCCCTGGTGAACATCAAAATAGCTGGTAAGTGGATGTTCATCCCACTAAAAATGGTATTAATAGGTATTGATCCATACCCATATGAGGATTTACGATTTCACCTTCCGCCAAGGTGAGGCCGTGTGAGGCCCTTCAGTTATCAATATAGATGTGTTTTTGGAACATCGAATGCATCGCAAAAGGTGAGTGAGGCCCCACTTGGTGATGTTTGTTGCTTTGTAATATCCCCCATAAATCCAGCCAAGTTGTGTGCATCACATTAGCCATTGTTTGGGGAGCCGCAAATGGGATAGAAATGGGAGGCGCTGGGCTGATGTTCTTTGGGACTTACGGATTTATAAATTACGATATTCATGGAGATATTGGGTATATATGGATATATCATATATCACCAAAAATTCACCAAATATATTGTTTAGGGACCTACTCCGTGGTTCACCCCAGGATGAGTTACAATTGGTTTGCTCACCCCTTATAAGTGGACGGTGCCACTACTTGACCTACTTATAACTGGGGTCAAAACTCACTTACTGACTCGGATGAGCCACCAAGTACGCTGCATTTTTTTCGCTGCTTAGTAATGGTTAGTATTGTATATGGCAACAGAGTCGTTGCAATTAACTACCCAGTTGGCTGACTAAAAACTGGGTCCGTCAAAAATTGATGTCCAGGAAATCAGAAAAAATGAAGTGGACATTTTGGTGCATGTTTAAAAAACAGCCGTGTTTTCTGCCCTGCTGGGTGGTTTTTCGGCTGAACTCTGGCGTTCATGGACCGGTTTCGGCACGCAGTTATGGTATGGTGTCAACCATGTGGCCATCATGGATTGTATATATATATATATATATTATATATATATAACTTCAAAATAGATAGAAAAATTGGAACTCCTGGAATTATGAGGCAAACATATCATCTTACAAACAGAAAAAGCACCCCGGAAAAACTGTTCTGTCTTTTTGGGAACACCTATATATTAATATCATATAGCAACCCCCAAACAGAGTCCGAATTTCCAGAATGGTATTGATCAGAAATTGTCCCCATAGTTTACAGGCGTCTAACGTTTTCTAGTTTTTTGAAGGTATAAAATCCCCATAAATCTCATGAAATCCCAACTCTTGGTGGCACCCTTCCCCAAAAACACCTAGGAACTGCCCACTCCCAGAGCTCGTTGCTCTTCCTCAAGGGATACCACGAATCCTCCTGCATCGAAGGAAACACGGTGTTGCACACTGTTTGATACACAATACGAGGTGTCTTTATTACTATATATATATATGCACATAGGTATATAAAATATTTTTTTAAAAATATATATATATATATATAGTGTGTGTGTGTGTTATTTTGATGTATGTGATTCACCATTTACATAAAAATAGTTCTGATAATAACAATAAGCACCATCAATATCAGTGTTGTTTATCATTCCTATTTATTTGCGATAGTCATTGGAATAAGAGCAATAGTAGCAGAGTCTACAACAATACTACTAAAATAATTGTATAATACAATAACACAGAACTGCAAATGCTTGTAACACAATACAGCAATGTAAATAGTACACTAGTAGCACCATACTTTATAGAGACCCCCAAAAAGAATAGAAACGATAGAAAAGTAACTTCCCGTGAACATAGTAGTAATTGATTATTGTTTATTTTTGTTTTTTGCTGTACATCTTTTGCGCATCATATTATTAATAATATGAATATGTGTGTGTATGTAAAAATAGTGGTAAAATCATCTATATTATAAATTGCACTTGTCTATATATACACATTAATCATCATTAACCATCGTTAACCCTATTCTATCTTCTTTTGCTTATCTTTGTATATTTTGGTATGATTTTCTATGGGAAATGTTAAGCCAAGGGGATGATTCTCCGAGTCCCATCATTCCAGTGATTTTTTACGATGTTTTTGGTCATGATCACATCCAAACATGGTGACATTCATATCACGAAAACATCGTCGGTGATATGAATTCTTTCATGATACTCCCACAAAATATTTCCATGAATATCCCATGAAATCATCATTGTTGTTGAAAAATCCCATCGAGTCCCCTATGAATGCATCACCATAAATTGATGGATTTGATCCACCATTTTGTATTCTCATGATCCGTATATCAATATCCCATGAATCCCTATTCATTCCTATGAATCCCCTATGAATGCATCTCAGATCATCTGAGAATCCCACAAAAACCCGCTAAACTTCAGATCTCACCGCATCGGCTCCTCCGGACTCCCAAAGGAGGCGATACGACGTCGGTAGTACGTCACCGGCTGCGTAGTGCTGCGAAGATCTGCCAGCGTCCAGGTCGAGTTGTCGTCCGAGACTTCCAAACGCCACATCACCTGGGGCGTTGCTGGAGTTTCACAGGGCATGGAGAATTCCAATGATGTTCAAGGAGAAAATGATTAACATGGAGGAAAACAGATGAGCCACCAAATAAGGAAATGCTTACGCCATTGCTTACGTTTTGCTTACGCGCACAGGTTTTGTGCTTACGCGCATATCTTTTCTTACGTGGAGCTTACGCTGGCTTACACGCACCACAGTTTTGCTTACGCCACACCCTTACAAGGGGCCCCTTGCTTAACATGAACACAAGGGTTTAGAACGTGGCTCAGATGAGAAAAACGGGCGAAAATTGGAGCAGGGATTTCACCAACAATGGATCAACATCGAGAATTTGAGAAGAAAATGTGAAGAGAAACCACTGGGACTTTTACCATCATAAATTGAGATATCTAATCAACTTGGACAAATTGGATTTTACCATGAAAAACAAAGGCAATGATGGTATCATCAACCAGAAAAGGTATATGACCAGCAGTATGAGATGGATTTGTTCATTTGTCCTCAAAAAATGATGGATTTGCCTTCGATATGTTGCCAAATAAGGTGGGCATGTTGAGACAAAGCCAGGATGTGGTCTACAGTGAGGTGCCAGCGTCAGGGAAACTGGGTTCGGTACTGGTTGATATCGCTGCAGAGAGATTCTTTGGGATTTTGATGTATTATATATAATAATAATAAATAATAATAATAGACATGTATACATACACATTTATTAGATATGTTATTGGAATTTGCTAGATGTTGATTTTGATGATCCATGGTGACAATTCTATAATTCTATTTATCCCTTAGTCACACTTGGTAGTAGCACAATTACATACCAGGTGGGCCCCCTCAAAGTGATAATTAAGTTGGTTTATCACCCCCGGGAATTATTGTTATATATATGTTCCATGAAATGTTGTTCCACTATTTTCCATCAACCGTAGAATTCACCTAGATATAAACTCCCTTCCATAAACCACGGAATATATATATATGAGCGATCGGCAAAACCTCAATTGAAGAATGCGATCTTCGGGTCAAAGTTATCGTTTTTGGGAGTTCACTATATCGTTTTACAGTATATCAGTATATCCTGATTGCATCATTTGCATCCCCTGGCAAACTGCGTGCGGAAAGCCTTTTTACACCTCCACTTCAGCGTCTAAAGCATGTTTGACTGCCCTGCGCTTTCTTTTGCAGCGCTCCAACTGTATGGTATGGTATGATACCTGTCAATGCAACTGCAAATCACAGTTGCACCATCCTTTCTCAAACTCAGAAACAAGTTTGAATTCAGTTGTTGGAAGAAGTCTGGATGAGCTCTCACAGCGACATGCTCCATGCCTTTCATTCACTCCCCAGCGTCTGGGTAGCAAACCATCACCATGCTTCAATGCTTTTGCCTCGGCTATCTGCATCTAGGAGAAAGATCGCCAAACCGGACCTGCAGGTGCAGGTGTGCCGGTGTGCCCGAGATGAACCAGGATTGACTAAAGCAATGGAGCGCCGCAAAAGAATATGCATAGCAGCGAAAAGATCGCAATAAGCAAGTGACAATATTCAACGGCAAAGAATCATCTCAAGAATCTTTTCGCATCTGGGCCATCCATCAGCGAAGGACATTTTGTCAAGAAATGGTTATCGTTTAGTTATCGTTTTCGTTATCGTTCAAAGAGGGAAACATTTTTGGAAAATGGCATGAACCAAGGAATGTTGGAAAGGAGGCCTGTTGTCATTGTCAATGCTTGCATGAAAGCGGGAAAATACAAAACGCTCATCCGGAAGGCTTGAACTTCACTTGAACAATGGCGAGACAAAAAGAGCATCCAAATCCAGCTAGTTACCACATACTGTAGCAATACGTGCTTGGATACAAAACTGTTTGCAATAATCAGAAATAAAGAAATTGGCCAGGATCAAGAGTGTCAGCATACTTTTGCACATCTTCCGTTGTGTGAGCTGGTCATGACGTATACCCCATAACTGAGAGCCTAGATGATCTAGGTGCTTCTAGAACAGGTGTCCACCATCATGTCATGTACACCACCCCTTCACTTCCCACAATGCTTTTACATATGATATGATTCCCACGTTATCGTTTTTGGGAGTTCACTATATCGTTTTACATATCAAGATGCATATTTTTACATGAAAGATCGCTCGAATACATACCTCCTACACGGAGAGTTTAGCCTCTTGCTCATATATAAATCCCCGATAGGCTATCATACTTCAGCTAAACATCCCATAGTCATCCCAGAAAAAAAGACCAACTTCCAGTCACTGGATCAACTCGTCGACTCCAGCCCGAAGTCATCCACATGTAGCTGCTGATGGCAGACCCTGCAGAATTGGAAGGGGATGCAGAGAAAATCGTCACCGGAAACTACAAAGTAATCACCAAAAAGATAGAACATCGATTTACCACTATTTAGTGGGGATTCACTTCTATTCTTTTGGGGGTCAATACAGGCTCATGTTTTCCCATCAATGAAGCATGGGGAAATCTTCACCGGAAACTATGGGGAAAGCTCATAAGTTATGGATTGATTGTGGGAGCATGTGGGAGCCTGAGCGTCCTTTGGAGAAAGGGAAAACGAAACATCCAATCCAATGAGATACTTCCCAGCCACAAACGGCTGGAACTCGGGTATACAAAGGCAAAGGTTCAAGCAAACATCACAAGCCAAAAAATTGACCATTCATCAACATAAATGGCTTGGCTAAACAGAATAGGAAACCACAATCCACTTATTTTTTGGCCGAATCTTTGTCATCTTTGCGAACATTGACATCAGAGTTTTAAGTGAGATCCCGGCCGCGGCTTATATACATCTTTCTTCTAGGATATTGATCCAAGTTCTGATGAGAGATGTTGGGGGTGGTTATCAATGACTTACCACAACCTCGGGCTACATTGGCTACATCATCCCGCTAGTTTCGCATCCAGCGTCACAGTAGACGGTCAGCAAAGTGGTTTTTAGTTCTCCTCTAGTTGCTCGGTGCGAAATTCGTACCAAATCATCACCAAATCATCATGAATTTCAAGCTGTCAGAAGCCAGCTTGACATATCGAACGCACATGCAGAAAAATATTCGGTGTTTGTTTAGATTTCCCTCTGGTATCAAACGTGGCAATGGAGAATTCCCTACAAAGGGAGGTTTCAATGCGAAAAATTATCTATAAATGGTGGACTTTCAATTGCCACGTTTGATGACCGGAGGGTCGTCTTCACCCTGATCCTGAGTTTCATCCCCTCAATCACTATATAAAGAATCCCTGGATCTCTCCCGCTCCACCTGCTGCAAACTCCACCACTCCGCTGTACTCCCCCGGCGAGCTTGCTTCGAGTGGCACCTGCGGGAAATTCTAAATGTTACCTCTGGATTCTGGTATATATAAACGCTGCCACAAGTCGGGGTTTGGAAGATGAGTTTCCACTCAAAACTTACAATTTTATACAATTTTCAGGGTCTATGTATGTCTATGTTAATTACATTTCATTACTGGAGGGTAAAAGCTTCATCTCATTCATTGGATGGGCAAATTCGCCAGACAATTCTATATCATTTCAGAAAAGTCCATGGCTGATGGGAAAACCCAGAGTTTTTCTGCCGATGTCTTCCTTTAATCATTCCAATGGTCCCATGGGAAACGTGGGCTGCAGCATCTCAAGTGTGGACTCATAGCGTACATGCCGACTTTTGGGGGGGCTTTGGATACATCGTACATCTCAACGTTTAATAGAAACATGGTGAATCTCAACTGACAAGCAACGGAGATGCTTACGTACCAACAGAGTCCAATAAAATAATGTGGGCTTAGCCCACGCAAATCAGGGAGGAAGGCAACAAAGGAAACATGCTGATAGAAACCAACAATCGCCGGAATCGAGATGTTTACTGAAATCTCAAATTTCTCTTTCAAAGTCGAGTGCCTAGATTCTCTTCTGTTTGATGATTGTAGGGATTATACAGTACTGTCCTTTATCTATTTGGGATCATCATAGTCCATGAAATCCTGTTCATGGTAATATCATAATTAATATCCAATTTAAGAAGTCGTTTTCCAACCCCCACTTCAGCGAAGAGCTGTGAATTTCTGGCTAACATCCATGGTACCAGAAAACCAAGGGCCAGACCCAATCAGTGTTTGGGTCGCCATCGCAAAGTTCCGGAAACGTGGTGGATGTACAACCTCCCAATTTTGCCGCCGGTTGATAGTGGTTGATGGGCAACTCAGTGATCCAATGCAGTGTTTAAGGCCCATTGATCCAACTGACTTCTCAAATCAGCCACTCGCATTCCAAAAATATACAACACGTTGAAAACAGTTTGATTTGGTTTGATCATGTTTGATCTCTTTTTCAGAGGATCCAAATGTTTCCAAAAACGACTGGCAGCGTGTTTCTTGCCAGCGAGCAGCTTACGGTTTCTCCTTGTGTGCCCTTAAAAAGGAGTTCCGAGATCCTGACGAGGCAAAAACCGCCGGGGAATTGGCTGTGATGAAGGGGTCCGCAAACAGAGGCCAAAAAGATGTTCCAGGATGTGAGTTGATAAGGTTTATTCCATGTTATTCCACCATGTCGCGTAATCCCCAGGCGTCCAAATGTTCGTTCTCTCTTTGGAGCTCTAAATGATTCCGTGTGGTGATCTTGCCAGATGAGATGGATATCATCCAAATATATTTGGGCATTAAAATCATTTAAAAAGTAATAGGTATAATTTGCCTATCCCACGATACAATGAATCTTTCAATAGACAATGGATTGTGATGGATTTTATGTTCAATATCAACATGTTTTACATCATAATACAACTGCTGGGTTTTCTTGGTTTTCACTCCGAGAAGAAAATCCATAAACCACACAAATAAGCAATCCCATCCCCCGTTCATATTAGAACAACCCCCGTGCTATAGTCCCAATATAGAAGTTTCCTGAAATAGGGGCACCCCCAAATCATCCATTTTTGTTTGGGATGTTCCATTATAAACCATCCATTTTTGGGTACCTCCATGGCTATGGAAACCCCCATATGTCCCAATATGTCCCAATCATATGTTTTTCAATCCCTTACACCCACCATGATTTCTACCACCAGGGTATCCTGGGCAAGCCCCCCCATGGGTGGCAGTGGAAGTGAATCGCAAATAGCGAGGCGTGAAAGGCGTGCGCTTGATGAAGTGCTCCTCGATGCGCTTGGATCCATGGGTTTTGAGCCATTACAACCAGAAAATACAGTAGAGATTGAATCATCATTTAATGGAATCAGGACTCTTAATAGGATTTAATGATATTTCATGGGAATGGATTCAGCCATTCCTTTAAAATAAACCGGTTCCCCCATATTATTCCACCGCTCCGATTTTCTGGATAGAAAACGGTTGACCCCAACCCCCAAAATGCACCCAGAGTATTGAAGTCATGGTGATTTCATGGGATATTGATGAGAATATCATGGGATATCTGGTGTGTATCTGAACATGGGGCGCTGACCCCCAATGTGTGGCAATCGAATGGGAAACCGATGATACACGTTTTTTTTTGTTGATCCTACTTCATCTGCTTGGTGGTTTCAAGAGAGATACTTAAACATACAATCTTCGTCGGAGAAAAACAAGATTCTCATCCAAAGATATCCCAAGTAGGAGTTGAAGCAGAATATTATATATAATATAAACTCTATATATATATGATTATATATGTATTTGGAAGCTCCAGAATATGTTGATTTGGAAAAGCTGGCCAGTGCTAAGACCATGAAATTCTGATGTTTGAGTTCCCCAATAGTCCCAAGATCTCCAACTAAGCCTTAGCAAACACCCAAGAATGTGGCTAGTTCCAAGTTGTCCATCTAAAATGTCTTCAAAACTTGGAGACAACCCATGTTCACATATTCTGATATTCCCATTATACTTCTATTCTGGTTCATGAATCACTAATCAATTCTTGGTTAAATCCCATTAAACTCATTGGGTGACCGGTGGCATCTCCTAGTCTTCTCCCAAGGCGCTGAGTTGATGTGAGTCCAGTCCATCAAACGAACAGTGGAGAAGCGTTCAAGGTTCTTCCTCAGTTGAGATGGAAAAATGAAGAACAATGACAAACGTAATATGAAACTATGATAAAATCTAGACACACATATGTATATAATTATATATACACACACAGTTCTTTAAAATCATTTAAAGTCGGGTGGAGGAAGAAAAGAAGAGTCAAGTCCGATAATTCATATGATCGGTCGTGAACAGGACCCCCTGTTAGCATGGGTTCAAATATCCATAGACAATAGGAATGGTAGTGTGAAAATGTCCCACAAATGTGGAGATTCCCAGACATGTTTGGTGGTTTCAACCCTCTGACAAATATGAAAGTCAGTTGGGGTTATTTTTCCCAATATATGGAACCACCAACCAGGAAAATGTGGGAAACACATACGAAAGACTCCGTACTGCTCGTATTTTGTCCAAAGCATCAAGAACCAAGGATGGAAAGGTTCGACTTCATGAGTTGCAAAGAAGCCTGAAGCGCATGGCGCTTCAGAAGCATGGGAAGCGGGCCCTCTCAAACACAATGGGACAATTACTGAATATACCTCCAATATTTCTATGGTTTATGATGGTTTATGATACTTATAACTATAGTTCATGGATCTTCATGGGGTATATAAACCAACTTATAACTGGGGGCCACATTGTGGTAATCAAACGCATCGCAATGGAGTGCCTGGCATAATGATGCGCACGTTTCGGAGTGGGTTCGCTGGATTCACTCTGCGAATGGTGATGCCAATGCCATTGTCGCTGCAGTATGGCAGCCTTGGTGAGAAAACGGGGAACCAAACAGGGTGAATTACAATATTTCACCAACCTGAATTAAGGTCATTTGGGGATGACTTCCCTATTGTTTCCCCTACGAACCATCATTCCAGTGAGGTCGCAGTGAGGTCGTTATAATTTTACCCAGAAACATGGAGTCGTGGATGGAACACCGAGTCAAGATATGTTTCGAGTTTGATATATATATACTATCATATCCACTATCATATGATGGTATATAACCATATAATATCACTATTATATCCACTATTGTATATAACCACTACTAGACGATAGATCAGTAGCCGGATTCAAAAATAATCTACCCGCAGAGACAGTGAAGAGGTTCAACCTATAGCGGTTCCCAATTCCCCTGAAAGATCTGAACAAACAAGATTGAA